CAAAAAAGCCTCCAAAGCACTTGAAACCAAGAAAGATTGCAAATGTTATATTTGTAATGAAGCTGGTCACTATGCCACAAATTGCCCTCAAAAGGGTAAAAAGGCCTCTAAAATGGTTAAGCGTCTACAAACCGATAACCTTTGTGTTGCCTATGGTAGCGACATCACCGATCCTTCTACCATTTTATATGAACTCTCCAGTAGTATGTACTCTAGCGACACCTCCAGTACATCCCAACACTCTACCGATGACGACTCAGATATTGAAAGTATCTGTATGATGAATGTTACTCCTTCTAACCCAGAAGAAAATACCAACATTAAACTTAGTGACATCATTGGAGAAGAAGTCCAGTTCACTAATGAACAACTGATTCAGTTCGATAAACTTCAACGGATCAAAAAAGAAGAAGTATACAAAACTTCTCGATTTGCCATTTTTTCAAAAAGAATTTTAGAACAATTCAGTGGCAACACGACAATTGACTATACAGCAAATGGTCAATGTGGTTTCAACATCCTCAGTAAGGATAAAATCGATCGATGGAAACAGCAAAATCCTCTCGCTCGTTATATCCATATCGGACTAGTTCAAATTAAGATCACTTCCTTGTTTCGTCGCGGAACTGATCAGCCTTTAATTGCCCTCCTTATGGACAATCGGTTTCATAAACCCGTTGATGCACTTATCGGCGGCGTTCAATCCAATTTGGTTAACAATCTGATTTGGTTCAAAATCAAACCAAATTATTTCATCTCACTTTCCGATCCAAACATCGAAAAGGTCCTCCAAGTCAAACTCCAATTGTCCAAACTGCAAATGGATTACGATTCTCCTAGCCTCGGAATCCAGTGGAAAGTCCTCTATGAACTCACTAGAGAACCTGAAACTGCCACCGTTCCAACATTAGACTCTAAACTAGTCACTCTGTTCGAACCAAGACCTTTCGATACAATAATTGAGCCTAAACTACTCAATTGGACTGATCTAGAAATCCCTAAAACTTGGCTATTTGATAAAATCAATTCTGTTCCCAAGTTACGTATCACAGAACCCACTGTGGCTACCATACATGCTTCTGGTTCCAATCTTTATGTTACCAATAAAGCAAAACCCCCTCAGCTACAACGATCTGTATCTGCAAGGCACCATGGATGGGAGAAAATCCTTCCTCCTCGCAAATCCTTTGAGTTACCTCCTAGACGTCGTTTTACATGGACCGAAAAAGGAAAAGACCCTATCGATCCTCAAGATGCCCCTTTCTTGCCTGGCTCAAAACACCAGATGAACTCTGCAAAATTTTTTCATTTTCGCACAGGAAAGGATGAAATTTTGATCGCCCCTTCGCAAGGCAAAAAACGTAAATACACCTATGTCAATGGTATCCTCAATTTCAAAGGATACAAACCCTATGGCCTTTGTGTATTAATTGACACCGGCGCAACTACCAGTTGTTGCAGATACAATGCACTGCCCTCAGAAAAATGGCAACAGATGAAACACCCCATTGGTGTTCAAGGAATTGATGCTGAAGCACCCCTCAACATAATTCAGTTCAAAGCTAAAGATGTAGCGATCTGGCTTAATGAGAAAAAATTCATTATCCCCAAAATCCTGTGTTTTCCATACATGCATGGCGATTTTATTTTAGGATGTAACTTTATTTACAGTTATCTTCCTTTACAATTAAACGAAAAATCAATTTCGTTAACATTAAAAGATAAGACCGTTGTTGAAATTCCTATCCAGGAAAATTTAGCTTCCGTCTGTAACGAAAAGTTCTCTCCACCTAAAAGAGAATCTGATGCCTTAGTGTTACAAGACACTCATTGGCTCTATAACTCTCTTCGACAAAACTTCTCTGAAAATCCACTCACCCTGTGGAAACGAAGTCCTCGTTTTTGTCGCCTACAACTCAAAAACCGCAATGTCGTAATACGTGTTAAACCCATGATCTATTTACGCCGTGACATTGATGAATTTGATGCCCAGCTCCAAGAGCTTCTTGAGAAAAAGCTCATTGAGCGTACTAAAAGTCCACACAGCAGTCCCGCTTTTCTGGTTAGAAACCATAGCGAGGTTAAACGCGGCAAAGCTCGAATGGTTATCAACTATAAACGGCTTAATGAACATCTCGTTTTCGATGGATACTTTATTCCTCGGAAAGACGTTCTTCTTAATCAAACTAGAGGTTCAACAATCTTTAGTAAATTTGATTGTAAAGCTGGTTTCTGGCAGATTAAACTGCGCAAGAAATCCAAACCCTTAACCGCGTTCAGCACACCTCATGGCCATTACCAGTGGACCGTTATGCCCTTTGGCCTTAACACAGCACCACAGATCTACCAACGATGGATGGATTCTATCTTTAATGACCTTAAAGATTTTGTTGTTGTGTATATTGATGATATTTTAGTTTTCTCAAAAACCAGAGAAGAGCATAACAAACATCTCATATGTCTTTCAGAAAAACTGAAAAAGTATGGCATTATTTTATCACCAACAAAAATCGATGTTGAACAAGAATCCATTGATTTTCTAGGATTAGTTTTAACCCACAAAGGTATAAAACTACAGGATCACATTATTATCAAGATCCGTGATTTCCCCGATATACTTCAAGATAAAAAGCAGTTACAAAGCTTTTTAGGAATCTTGAATTATGGTCGCTCCTTTATTAAAGGTTTAGCCCAAAAGGAACTCCCTTTATTAAAGAAGCTCCAAAAGAATGCCCCTTTTGACTGGACTGATAATGACACAACCATTATCAAACAAATTAAAGCAGATCTGGTACAGATCCCTGAAGTTTATTTTCCCCAGAATGGTGATAAACTTATTCTCGAAACAGATGCCTCTGAGCTCTGTTGGGGATGTGTTCTCAAGGCCATCCCCCAAGAAAAATGGATTGATGACACTCCATCATCTCCTATGATTAGAGCTCGCAAAGCTCCGATCTCCAAGAAACTGCAAAAAGAAGAATTAATTTGTGGTTATAATTCTGGAAAATTTAAACCAAATGAACAGAATTATATTATTTATGAAAAAGAACTTCTGGCTATAAAATTAGCAATTAAACGTTTTCATATTTATCTTGCTCCAGAAGACTTTATTATTAGAACAGACAACCAAGCTGTTAAAGACTTTCTAATCAATAAACGAAATTGCTTAGACGGTCGCCGCTTAAAATGGTATAATGTGATTGCCCAATATTCTTTTGCTATTGAACATATCAAAGGAACTAATAATTTTCTTGCAGATTTCTTAAGCAGACCTCCAGAAGTATCTAACAAGGATATTTCTTCTCTTCGCCTCACAGATGGATGAGTATCCCCGGCCTAAACCGGATAAAGAAGGTTGGATCACTGTTGCTAAAAAGGCAACTTCCAAGCCATCTCCATCACAACCACAAAAATGGTTCGTGGTTTTTGCAGGTCACCAACCTGGTATCTATGAGAACTGGACAGACTGTCACAAGCAGCTTCGTTCATTCAATGGTTCTTGCTTCAAGGCGTATGACACACTGATAGAAGCTCAAACAGTTTTCTATAACGTGGGCCAAGCCTCAAACAAAATGTTTTCAAAAAACCCAGATATTTTAGAAATTAACAATTTCTATGATCCTGGTCTTCCAAACAATTTGTATAATGAACTTAACACTGTTTGGAAAGCACATAAACTTGGTGCTAATAAAAAATTCAGACAACATCTGAGTTCTCTTGCTGCTCTCATGGCTGAACAAACAGCTATGACAGCTGAGCTTAAACAGCTCTGCATACAAAGCTGTCTTTCTATCGACTGGGAAAAAGATTTTTCGCTTTCTCAAATTAATTGTTTTCTTAAACTTGCCCAGTTAATAGGAGAACAAGACTTTCCTGCAAATACGTTTGCCAAAATTAATCGTATTTGCCTCCTGGAAAAAGCCCGAGCACTCTTACCTTCAGATATTTTTCGATTTATCTACCGACAAATTGAAAATCATTATGATATAATAAAAACATATTATACCACCTATCATGAAGATATCAATACCTTTGATACTCTTTATAATGGTAAAAAGGTCATTAAACTTGACTTTTTTATTATCCCAGGCCTTGAATGGTCCATGGATCCTGTTGATTGGGGAATAGTTAATAAACTTACCTTTTCCTCCCATGATTCCTACCAGAATTTTCCAGCGATGATACGCTCGATGATTTACAAAGTTAGTCATCTCTGGCAATACAGTCGACATCTGACTTTCTGGATCTCTAGTTCGATTGGAAGTTTCGAAAAAACTCGCTTCTTCCAACCATACCAAATCTGGTTTCTCAAATTCACTGGTCAAGACGATGAATCTGAGTACGAACATCATAAATTGATCAATTCTGAGGAACTAGCTGCCAACTTGGAGCCTTATTATTTTGAGGTTTATAGTTTCTTACATCTACAAGACACTGCTCGCCGCGTTCTTGATGGCTCATACTACAACCAAGAGCCAATTTATTATTGTTGTGATGGACGCAGACTCTTCATCACTACCATTCGCTGTTACTATACAGACGTTGCCGAAGGAGAACATAATGTCCAGATGGCTAAAACATTCTTAAAAGATATTGTTCATTATGTCAATACCATGGACATACCTGATCGCGTCAAAACTGAGACTGAACGTCTCAACCTTGAATGGGATATTGCTGATGCTCAGTCCCCAGATAGTCCTCCCTCACTTGATGAATATGAACTCCATAATCTCATCAATGCTATGGAAGGATAACCGACACTCTTCTCTGCTCGACTGCAATCGTACCCAGCACACGACAGAAGAATGTCTTCTCTGCTTTTCCAAAAAGAAAAGTAGCCGAAAGTTGCCGACCAACTATTCATCAACAGTGAAAGTAGCCGACACACTTTTTAAACAGTAAAAGAAAGATTCCTCCTTATCTTCTCAGATACTGTTTAACCACTTTTGTAATGCTATATAAACCAAAACTCCAGAACGGTTTTGGACATCTGTTTTTCATTATCTTTTGTATACTTCTTCTTTTTTGATCCGTTGAAGTTTATCGAACTCAATCAGTTGTTCATTAGTGAACTGGACTTCTTCTCCAATGATGTCACTAAGTTTAATGTTGGTATTTTCTTCTGGGTTAGAAGGAGTAACATTCATCATACAGATACTTTCAATATCTGAGTCGTCATCGGTAGAGTGTTGGGATGTACTGGAGGTGTCGCTAGAGTACATACTACTGGAGAGTTCATATAAAATGGTAGAAGGATCGGTGATGTCGCTACCATAGGCAACACAAAGGTTATCGGTTTGTAGACGCTTAACCATTTTAGAGGCCTTTTTACCCTTTTGAGGGCAATTTGTGGCATAGTGACCAGCTTCATTACAAATATAACATTTGCAATCTTTCTTGGAGATCGGAGCTTTGCGAGCTCTAATCATAGGAGATGATGGAGTGTCATCAATCCATTTTTCTTGGGGGATGGCCTTGAGAACACATCCCCAACAGAGCTCAGAGGCATCTGTTTCGAGAATAAGTTTATCACCATTCTGGGGAAAATAAACTTCAGGGATCTGTACCAGATCTGCTTTAATTTGTTTGATAATGGTTGTGTCATTATCAGTCCAGTCAAAAGGGGCATTCTTTTGGAGCTTCTTTAATAAAGGGAGTTCCTTTTGGGCTAAACCTTTAATAAAGGAGCGACCATAATTCAAGATTCCTAAAAAGCTTTGTAACTGCTTTTTATCTTGAAGTATATCGGGGAAATCACGGATCTTGATAATAATGTGATCCTGTAGTTTTATACCTTTGTGGGTTAAAACTAATCCTAGAAAATCAATGGATTCTTGTTCAACATCGATTTTTGTTGGTGATAAAATAATGCCATATTTTTTCAGTTTTTCTGAAAGACATATGAGATGTTTGTTATGCTCTTCTCTGGTTTTTGAGAAAACTAAAATATCATCAATATACACAACAACAAAATCTTTAAGGTCATTAAAGATAGAATCCATCCATCGTTGGTAGATCTGTGGTGCTGTGTTAAGGCCAAAGGGCATAACGGTCCACTGGTAATGGCCATGAGGTGTGCTGAACGCGGTTAAGGGTTTGGATTTCTTGCGCAGTTTAATCTGCCAGAAACCAGCTTTACAATCAAATTTACTAAAGATTGTTGAACCTCTAGTTTGATTAAGAAGAACGTCTTTCCGAGGAATAAAGTATCCATCGAAAACGAGATGTTCATTAAGCCGTTTATAGTTGATAACCATTCGGGCTTTGCCGCGTTTAACCTCGCTATGGTTTCTAACCAGAAAAGCGGGACTGCTGTGTGGACTTTTAGTACGCTCAATGAGCTTTTTCTCAAGAAGCTCTTGGAGCTGGGCATCAAATTCATCAATGTCACGGCGTAAATAGATCATGGGTTTAACACGTATTACGACATTGCGGTTTTTGAGTTGTAGGCGACAAAAACGAGGACTTCGTTTCCACAGGGTGAGTGGATTTTCAGAGAAGTTTTGTCGAAGAGAGTTATAGAGCCAATGAGTGTCTTGTAACACTAAGGCATCAGATTCTCTTTTAGGTGGAGAGAACTTTTCGTTACAGACGGAAGCTAAATTTTCCTGGATAGGAATTTCAACAACGGTCTTATCTTTTAATGTTAACGAAATTGATTTTTCGTTTAATTGTAAAGGAAGATAACTGTAAATAAAGTTACATCCTAAAATAAAATCGCCATGCATGTATGGAAAACACAGGATTTTGGGGATAATGAATTTTTTCTCATTAAGCCAGATCGCTACATCTTTAGCTTTGAACTGAATTATGTTGAGGGGTGCTTCAGCATCAATTCCTTGAACACCAATGGGGTGTTTCATCTGTTGCCATTCATCAATGTCACGGCGTAAATAGATCATGGGTTTAACACGTATTACGACATTGCGGTTTTTGAGTTGTAGGCGACAAAAACGAGGACTTCGTTTGATATATCTTTAATGTTTGTATACTGTTAAAAGCCCAGATTATCCTGTCTTTGCTTATATGTCAATGTCTGTAGGACTCTTGTGACTTGTTTAAGCTGCTTACAGGATCCCTTGGTTTTAGGCACCAGGACAGTTCCCAAACATTTGAGAGACCCTCACTATGGCACACACTACCTCTGTTAACTGTATCAGAAACCTAGCAGGTCAAGATACTACTACCGAAAATTATAGGCACATAGCCCACTTTAACACTACTGAAGCAGTCTCATTTCCCCACGTCGGAGCAGGACTTAACTTTCTTGTCGACATGGTTACCGATTGGAAGATCGACTTCCAACATAATTTAGAGGCAACCAATTCCCATATGGCTTCCTCTTTTGATGATGTCCAGCAAGGTTTACTCTCCTTGAACGACAAACTTGAAACTCTTACCCAGATTTTCACCCTTTCTCATACTCCTGAAACAGCCCTTCAGGAACAATTGAATCAGATGAAGATCGACTTAGCTAAGCTTCAAAAGATTAAGTTATCCGACCTTTATCCACCGGATCCACCTGATCCTCCGCCTGAGCCGATCCTTTCTGAAGAATCGCCACCTCTATCCACAGACCAATCTTCTGTGAAAAAACCAACCCGTTACAAAGTTAAGCCTTTGTATTACGGCCATGAAGACACTGTTGAAACCATAAAAGTTTTCTCAGCACCCTCTTCTTCCTCTTATCGCCGCGAGGACTATGAGAGCATCATAGATCAGCTTAATTGCCTTCAAGCTCTCTATGTCGATCCCCAACTAACGTTTGATGAAAGCGCTCATATCATCACACGTATGAGGCAGATCTCTCTACAAAATGAGAATCTTCTTACTCACTTTGGATACACCCCAAATGAGAATTCAAGCTCTTCTGACGAAGAAAATACTTCTGACGACGAACAGATCTACGCTCTTTCAGAACATTCTGATTCTACCGAAGAATTAGATGAAACAATAGAAGCTGACCCTCTCCCAGTTTCCTCTTCTTCCGATACACCTATCAAAGAAGCTCCCAAACCTTCTAAAAGAAAAAGCAAAAAACGTCGGTCCGATTCCATTCTTAATGAATCCTTCTATGGAGATTTTCCGACAGAAGATTTTTTCCCTGCCGAAGAAGTCTCTGGTTCCGGTCAAAAAACCGATGACGAAAAATCCAAAAAAGCCGATGAACCCAAAATTTATACGTCTTCGTATAAATACGACTTTTCTACTGTCCCTTCTACAGTCCCCACCTGGACTCGCAAAGATGACCTCAATAAGTTTCCCATTTCACAAAATGGAACTTATCTTGACCTCACCCATGTTCCTTACAAGGATCATTTAAAAACAATTGACGAATGGGCTCAATCCCTCGCTATCCTCGTCAATAACTATAAAGGAACTTGGGAACGTCCCCGTTTCCTTGATTATATTTCTGCAACCCTCCAAGGCGATGCTCTTGACTGGTTACGCCAATGGGACCAAACTCCCCAAGGTAAACAACAGAAAGATGCCCTGTTAAATAACTTCGACAAAATCGATGGTGTTTTACGCGGGTTCGTTAAAATTCTTAAAGAAGAATTAGTTGGCCATACCGGTGAGCAACTCCTCACGGATGATGCAACATGTGCTCTTTCGAAAATCGAATTATGCAACATATGCCAATTCCCAGAATACGTCAAGTTATTTACCAAATACTTTCGACGACTCCCGCCTACGGCGATCGAACATTGGTTACCCCAGTTCTTTCACAAATTGCCAAATCCCTGGGATGAACTCGCCGCAAAAGGCTATCCCGATTTCCTCGTTCGAATCCAAAAGAACGATAATATTGGTTTTCGCACCAACTTCGTCTACCGTCTCATTAATGAAAAATGTCTTGAGACAAAAGCCAAAAAACAGGTAAAAAACCAAATTAATGGCACTGCAGAAGGACAACGCTGCTGTGATAAGATTCTCCAGGAAACCTGGAAAATTGGCTGTGCTCCCTACCGAGCCTCCTCCTCTAAAAAACCCAAACGGAAAACTTTCCGATGGAAAAAATGGAAAGGTCGCAAGCCTAAAGCATCTAAAAAATATGTCACTCAGGCTTCTCTTCCTTCCAAACCTGCAAAAGGCCGCAAAAAAGGCTCCAAAAAAGCCTCCAAAGCACTTGAAACCAAGAAAGATTGCAAATGTTATATTTGTAATGAAGCTGGTCACTATGCCACAAATTGCCCTCAAAAGGGTAAAAAGGCCTCTAAAATGGTTAAGCGTCTACAAACCGATAACCTTTGTGTTGCCTATGGTAGCGACATCACCGATCCTTCTACCATTTTATATGAACTCTCCAGTAGTATGTACTCTAGCGACACCTCCAGTACATCCCAACACTCTACCGATGACGACTCAGATATTGAAAGTATCTGTATGATGAATGTTACTCCTTCTAACCCAGAAGAAAATACCAACATTAAACTTACAAAAGAGGAAAAGAGATAATGAAAAACAGATGTCCAAAACCGTTCTGGAGTTTTGGTTTATATAGCATTACAAAAGTGGTTAAACAGTATCTGAGAAGATAAGGAGGAATCTTTCTTTTACTGTTTAAAAAGTGTGTCGGCTACTTTCACTGTTGATGAATAGTTGGTCGGCAACTTTCGGCTACTTTTCTTTTTGGAAAAGCAGAGAAGACATTCTTCTGTCGTGTGCTGGGTACGATTGCAGTCGAGCAGAGAAGAGTGTCGGTTATCCTTCCATAGCATTGATGAGATTATGGAGTTCATATTCATCAAGTGAGGGAGGACTATCTGGGGACTGAGCATCAGCAATATCCCATTCAAGGTTGAGACGTTCAGTCTCAGTTTTGACGCGATCAGGTATGTCCATGGTATTGACATAATGAACAATATCTTTTAAGAATGTTTTAGCCATCTGGACATTATGTTCTCCTTCGGCAACGTCTGTATAGTAACAGCGAATGGTAGTGATGAAGAGTCTGCGTCCATCACAACAATAATAAATTGGCTCTTGGTTGTAGTATGAGCCATCAAGAACGCGGCGAGCAGTGTCTTGTAGATGTAAGAAACTATAAACCTCAAAATAATAAGGCTCCAAGTTGGCAGCTAGTTCCTCAGAATTGATCAATTTATGATGTTCGTACTCAGATTCATCGTCTTGACCAGTGAATTTGAGAAACCAGATTTGGTATGGTTGGAAGAAGCGAGTTTTTTCGAAACTTCCAATCGAACTAGAGATCCAGAAAGTCAGATGTCGACTGTATTGCCAGAGATGACTAACTTTGTAAATCATCGAGCGTATCATCGCTGGAAAATTCTGGTAGGAATCATGGGAGGAAAAGGTAAGTTTATTAACTATTCCCCAATCAACAGGATCCATGGACCATTCAAGGCCTGGGATAATAAAAAAGTCAAGTTTAATGACCTTTTTACCATTATAAAGAGTATCAAAGGTATTGATATCTTCATGATAGGTGGTATAATATGTTTTTATTATATCATAATGATTTTCAATTTGTCGGTAGATAAATCGAAAAATATCTGAAGGTAAGAGTGCTCGGGCTTTTTCCAGGAGGCAAATACGATTAATTTTGGCAAACGTATTTGCAGGAAAGTCTTGTTCTCCTATTAACTGGGCAAGTTTAAGAAAACAATTAATTTGAGAAAGCGAAAAATCTTTTTCCCAGTCGATAGAAAGACAGCTTTGTATGCAGAGCTGTTTAAGCTCAGCTGTCATAGCTGTTTGTTCAGCCATGAGAGCAGCAAGAGAACTCAGATGTTGTCTGAATTTTTTATTAGCACCAAGTTTATGTGCTTTCCAAACAGTGTTAAGTTCATTATACAAATTGTTTGGAAGACCAGGATCATAGAAATTGTTAATTTCTAAAATATCTGGGTTTTTTGAAAACATTTTGTTTGAGGCTTGGCCCACGTTATAGAAAACTGTTTGAGCTTCTATCAGTGTGTCATACGCCTTGAAGCAAGAACCATTGAATGAACGAAGCTGCTTGTGACAGTCTGTCCAGTTCTCATAGATACCAGGTTGGTGACCTGCAAAAACCACGAACCATTTTTGTGGTTGTGATGGAGATGGCTTGGAAGTTGCCTTTTTAGCAACAGTGATCCAACCTTCTTTATCCGGTTTAGGCCGGGGATACTCATCCATCTGTGAGGCGAAGAGAAGAAATATCCTTGTTAGATACTTCTGGAGGTCTGCTTAAGAAATCTGCAAGAAAATTATTAGTTCCTTTGATATGTTCAATAGCAAAAGAATATTGGGCAATCACATTATACCATTTTAAGCGGCGACCGTCTAAGCAATTTCGTTTATTGATTAGAAAGTCTTTAACAGCTTGGTTGTCTGTTCTAATAATAAAGTCTTCTGGAGCAAGATAAATATGAAAACGTTTAATTGCTAATTTTATAGCCAGAAGTTCTTTTTCATAAATAATATAATTCTGTTCATTTGGTTTAAATTTTCCAGAATTATAACCACAAATTAATTCTTCTTTTTGCAGTTTCTTGGAGATCGGAGCTTTGCGAGCTCTAATCATAGGAGATGATGGAGTGTCATCAATCCATTTTTCTTGGGGGATGGCCTTGAGAACACATCCCCAACAGAGCTCAGAGGCATCTGTTTCGAGAATAAGTTTATCACCATTCTGGGGAAAATAAACTTCAGGGATCTGTACCAGATCTGCTTTAATTTGTTTGATAATGGTTGTGTCATTATCAGTCCAGTCAAAAGGGGCATTCTTTTGGAGCTTCTTTAATAAAGGGAGTTCCTTTTGGGCTAAACCTTTAATAAAGGAGCGACCATAATTCAAGATTCCTAAAAAGCTTTGTAACTGCTTTTTATCTTGAAGTATATCGGGGAAATCACGGATCTTGATAATAATGTGATCCTGTAGTTTTATACCTTTGTG